TTCACTATTTCTGACTGTTAAATTCTTTCAAATCACTAGAGATTCTCGTGAAAATTATATTTTCAGCCTGTGTTTAATTTTTTCAAATCGTCAGACTTTCGAAAATAATAGTGCCAGTATATCCGTGTTTAATTCTTCAACTCATATCTCGTATACTATATATCTGTTCCCCCTGTATAATTTCATTATATCGTTAATAAGATATTTTCAAGTGCTCGTTACATTTTCAGTATTTCTAAAAATAATGATAGTTTGAAAGTTATACATGAAAGTCTTTTTTTTATCCTACTTTCAAGGTCAATATCTCCGAAACGAAGCGCGATATACTTTTTTTTATATGAAGTACCAACATTATTTTGGCTCACTCTATTTGTCCTATCATTTACAACATTACCTTTCCGGACATCCTGAATAGTTTGCAAATTTTACCTAAAACCATTTTTCACTCATTTGGGATTGAATCAAAGTTGCCAATAACATTTAGATAGCTGTGGACACAACAGAAATGACATGGAAACAAAACAGGCATTTTTCGACATCTCTGTTGGTCTTCAGCAGTGGGAAAATACGAAATAGTATGATTGTTATATAATGAAAATATTGCGGAAACTTCGGTAATGCAACAAGGATTCAGTCCAAATCGGATTTTTTTCCAGATTAACAAGCAAACAGACAGAAAGCAAGTGTTTGATACTTGCCACTAAGTCGGAGAAAACCATCCAGTCAAGACGAACTGAACAAAAGATCCGCAAAGAGAACTGACCAGAGTGAACTTTTCAAAATTCAGATTCTTATATTCGTACGGAAGGCGATATATTTAATTCCTTTCCAGATTCTCAAGCAGACAGATAGACAGATATTCACCTTTATGTCTCTATGGAAACACGACAGGTACCCTTACGATTCAAATTTCAAATTGATGCTTAGTTTTAGATCCGAGCAGCACACTCTGTTTGGCATTCATGGTCCTTATTATAACCCACAAAATTCAAAATGTAGCAGATGTCTACAGGGAAAACCACTATTCGGAAGGAGAGCGAATATGAAGCAATCCAGTTACGGTTGTTGGAAATATTATTCAGGTATGTTTCAGATTCAACATCAGTTTCAATTCTCATGGACTTTCTGATGTGATATTTAGTTGCAGATCCCAAAAGGAAAGTGTTTGATACTTGGCAATAAATTGGAGAAAACCATCTAGTCAAGACGGACTGAACAGAAAATCCGCAAAGAGAACTGACCAGATGAGTATACTTTTCAGAATTCTGATCCTTATATTCGTACGGAAGGCGATATATTGAATTCCTCTCCGGATTCTCAAGCAAACAGATAGACAGATATTCACCTTTATGTCTCTATGGAAATACGACAGGTACCCTTACGAGGGGAGAGTATCAACTCGGCGTTCATAAAACCTCTCTGCAAAGGAGGTCGGCGCATAGTGGGTTAGGTATATACAGTGTTTTTCATTGCAGAGAAAATCGTTGTTTATCTGCCTACCTCGTCTGCGATGAGAGAGTTGATGAATTGATGAATAATCATAAAAATATATCGCGTTTCAGTTACGACTGATGAAAACAATATTCAGACTTCGTAGATTTATATTCTATGTACGTGTCACGATTCGAATTCAAAATTGTTGCATAGTTTTAGATCCGAGCAGAACATTGTTTGGCATTCATGTTCCTTATTATAACACACAAAATTGAAAATGTGGAAGATGTTTACTGGGAAAACCACAATTCGGAAGGAGAGCGAATATGTAGCAATCCATTCACGGTTGTTGGAAATATTATTCGGGTATGTTTCAGATTCAACATCAGTTTTAATTCTCATGGACTTTCTGATATGTGATATGCTTAGTTGCAGATCCGAAAAGATAAGTGTTTGATACTTGTCAATGAATTGGAGAAAACCATCTAGTCAAGACGGACTGAACAGAAAATTCGCAAAGAGAACTGACCAGATGAGTATACTTTTCAGAATTCTGATCCTTATATTCGTACGGAAGGCGATATATTGAATTCCTCTCCGGATTCTCAAGCAAACAGATAGACAGATATTCACCTTTATGTCTCTATGGAAATACGACAGGTACCCTTACGAGGGGAGAGTATCAACTCGGCGTTTATAAACCCTCTCTGCAAAGGAGGTCGGCGCATGGTGGGTTAGGTATATACAGTGTTTTTCATTGCAGAGAAAATCGTTGTTTATCTGCCTACCTCGTCTGCGATGAGAGAGTTGATGAATTGATGAATAATCATAAAAATATATCGCGTTTCAGTTACGACTGATGAAAACAATATTCAGACTTCGTAGATTTATATTCTATGTACGTGTCACGATTCGAATTCAAAATTGATGCATAGTTTTAGATCCGAGCAGCACATTGTTTGGCATTCATGTTCCTTATTATAACCCACAAAATTGAAAATGTGGAAGATGTTTACTGGGAAAACCACAATTCGGAAGGAGAGCGAATATGTAGCAATCCAGTCACGGTTGTTGGAAATATTATTCAGGTATGTTTCAGATTCAACATCAGTTTTAATTCTCATGGACTTTCTGATATGTGATATGCTTAGTTGCAGATCCGAAAAGCAAAGTGTTTGATACTTGTCAATGAATTGGGGAAAACCATCTAGTCAAGACGGGCTGAACAGAAAATTCGCAAAGAGAACTGACCAGATGAGTATACTTTTCAGAATTCTGATCCTTATATTCGCACGGAAGGCGATATATTGAATTCTTCTCCGGATTCTCAAGCAAACAGATAGACAGATATTCACCTTTATGTCTCTATGGAAATACGACAGGTACCCTTACGAGGGGAGAGTATCAACTCGGCGTTTATAAACCCTCTCTGCAAAGGAGGTCGGCGCATGGTGGGTTAGGTATATACAGTGTTTTTCATTGCAGAGAAAATCGTTGTTTATCTGACTACCTCGTCTGCATTGGGAGAGTTGATGAATTGATGAATAATCATAAAAATATATCGCGTTTCAGTTACGAATTTTGAAAACAATATTCAGACTTCATAGACTTATATTCTATGTACGATTCAAATTTCAAATTGATGCTTACTTTTAGATCCGCGCAGCACATAGTTTGGCATTCATGGTCCTGCTTTTAAGATGCCTACTGAGAGAATCACTATTCGGAAAGAAAGTGAATATGTAGCATCCAAGTTCCACCGCTTATGAAAATCAGTTTTAATTCTCATGAACATTTTGATATGTTATATGTTCAGTTGCAGATCTGAAAAGCTGTGTTTGATCAATAAATCGGAAAAAACCATCCAGTCAAGACGGACCGAACAGAAGATTCGCAAAGAGATCTGACCAGAGTATACTTTTATTCAAAATTCAGATTCTAATATTCGTAGGTACGGAAAGCCCTTTCTAAGCCAATATGAAGAAAGAAACATTTCAACTCACAAAAATTTCAACTCACAAAAATTCCAATTTTTTCATGTGTAGAATGATGTTTGCAAATTTGGAATTATCCCTCAAAACAGTTCCTGATGAGGTTACCGTGGATTTATAATAGATATCATCAATGGTCCAACCTTAGCAAGATTACTTCTAGCATCTTGAAGGATTTTTCATAGCACCACAGATATATTGAAAACCTGCAAAACTCTCACAGGTACCTTCTTCATGAATGGTGCTCCACTGCAACAATAATAGCAAATTGTCATGATCCTATATGTGTGTGATTTGTATCCACATTAAGTGTACTCATTTTCATAAGGACAATATACAATATACTTACTTACCTACATGAAGTTAAGGTAGGTGGTATCCTAGACTTGGTGTTCATCTATATCTTGTGAAATTAGTTTTTTTTTCACCATTTTGATGAAATCTGAGTAATCTGGAGTTCCACAACATAAAACTTTGTTCAGATGACCTAGATGATTTTTGTAAGTGATTATAGGTAAATAAGTTTTACTGAATTCATCTGAATAAAAATATCTATCTATGTATTTTATGTTCTGGAACTGAATCAATTGATCAATAATTTTTGAAAATGAATGTAGACATTGTAAAAACATGTTTTTCACTGTATAAGTACAATGCATTATAATAAATTAATATTTTGTTCAAAGACCTCATTTCCTAAAAAACACTTACCTATACCTACTTGTGCCTCTCCAAAGAAGTACTAAGAGAAGGATCTACCAGTTTACTTCTCCCCTCAGTGCTCATGTATAGTGTTTTCTCTCCTCCCCTTACATTACAAGTGAAGATACCTTCATGAACATGAAATAAGCGGCGTTCACAACCAAACTTTTTACGTTTTGCTTTTTACGTTTCGTATTCTGATTGGTGAAGCAAAATTTGTAATTGAAATGACGCAAAATGCTGAAAATATTCAGCTTTTTGCGTTGCAAGAAGCCATCGTCTGTGAAAATAGTAAAAATAGACGAATAATATGAAACATTCTGTAATAATATGGAAGTTACGATAATGTTTTCATGATTTTTTCGTGAATCCACAGAATAGTAGATAGGTATACTGTTCAATTCATTAATTTCTTGTTGAAGATTGATTTTTCCCTTCAAGTATTGAATAAGGATCAATTTTCATCACCGCCAGTTCTATCAATTCATTATTATTAATTATCTGATCAATATTATTGTTGATTATTTACTTCATTTCAGGATGAAAAACAAATAATAAAACCAAGGCAACTGAGTCATAAAAAGTCACGATTTTTTGTTGTTGTGAATGACATTTGCTCACGTTTAATTTCAGATTCTGCTTCACCAATCAGAATACGAAACGTAAAAAGCGAAACGTAAAAAGTTTGGTTTTGAACCCCGCTATAGGAATCCAAAAATAGTTTATGTTGACGTCATTATGACGTACTTGCCTCCCACCACCTTCATGTGAATGAAATGTCCCTAATAGAAACACCCAACCATAACCCAACCATAACCCAACCAAACCACAACCAAACAGACACAGAAAAAAAAACCACCTAACCTGAGGTATTTACTGTTGTAAAACCACAGATTAACAAACCTGTAAAACAATAACAAACCAAAATGAAAACATTTTTTTGTTCGTTATTTGAATGTGTTTGCAGAAACATTTTATCATATTTTCTCAAGAAGAAGATAAAAATATTGCATCAAAGCAATAATTTCCTGTTAATTAGCAAGGATTATGACATGAAGATTAATAGTGACAATCCTAATGAGGTGCCTATAATGTACTAGTAGGTATATGAAATATAATAATATACAACATACTTCTTTCAGTTTACTGTACAGACACAACTGAGGAAACAGTATCCCCTATTAGCAAATGATAGCTTGTTTCATGAATTTTACTTTCCTCACCGTTTAGATTTTGCTACTAGTGGAGTAATGTGTATTCCCATCCACAAAAAAGCATGTCAAATGGCATCTGAGGCATTTTCTGGAAAGCAAGCAAAGAAATATTATATTGGCCTAGCCAGAGGCTTGTTTTCAAATGAACTGATTGATCTAGATATTCCAATAGGTACCTACTTTCCACATTCCTGAACATCCTAGGAAACTTCAACCAAATTTTATTTTTCTGAGCAGGAGAAGATTCTAGATACAAAAATATACATAAGATGTGTACATACCAGTCAGAATTTTGTACCAAGTCTAGGAATGCTAGAACTATATTCCTTGTGCTGGAAGAAGGCTTGTATGACTGCTATCCAGCAACAAAAATCTTGATCAGACCAGTGACAGGGCGCAGACATCAGATAAGGGTCCATTGCTCATATTTGGGACACACAATCATAGGAGATTATACATATAGTAATAGAAAAGATGTTTCCCCATTCAGAATGTACCTACATGCCTTTCGGTAAGTAGTGAATATTTCTTTTGCTTGAGCTGTGAGTATATTACCCTAATCTTTCAGCTTGGTTTTGCCACTTTCTCTGGAACATATAGATGTGCAGAGCTGTGATCCTTTCCTTACTGATGATAAATGGCATTCCTTCACATTATTTAATGAAATCAATGAGCAAGCTTTCAAAAAATTAGAAATTTGTGTGAAGCAAGAATAAATAGTTTAACAAATTGAAAGGTGTTTCTATATTCCAGTGGATTGTTAAGTCTTTAGATACAAGACATCAGTGCTCCCTGGTGACAAAAAGCACTTATTATCCCTGCTCATCCACTAATGCCTCTTCAAAGACTTGTTAAATAAATGAAAAATAAGCAACAATAAAAAACTAGTTCCATGGTATAGGAAGATACATATAAGTACAGCAGAAATGCCACTACTGCCACTAGGTCCTTCCAAATTCCATCTATCTGAAGTTGAGAAGAACAGTAAACTGTGGTCAATGGCATTGTATTGTGGTTATCTGGTAATAGCTTAATTAGCCTAATAATGACTGCAAATTGCATTTAAATGAAATAAATATAACAAACCCAACTCTAACTGTGTGTTTATACAGTGAATAAGATGAAATGAGAAAGTTCAACATATGAAAACGTTCATACAAGAACTAAGATAAAATAAGAAATCAAATAAGAGTTGGGCGACTTCAACATTTTGAAAATGGAAGTATTGGTGCACACTGCACAGTTGCGCAGTGTTGCCGTTTCGGAATTTCAATTTGTACTAGAAGTCATTCCGAAATTGTACTAAATTCAATTATATTGTACTAAATAGAGAAACCACTTCAAAATTTACGATTCACACATTTGATGAAAAACTTCATATTCATGTATAAAAATTCAAAATAATGATATACAGCAGCTCATTGTTTCTCCGTTGAATTGGAAATTATAGACTTCTTATCAATGAGGGCTTCATTAGGATTCCAATTATAACATATCTTCTCCAAATCATTGTTTTGTATGCAATAATCCAATAATAATAGCTTGGGCTATCCCATGAAGCTATCCGTTACCATCGAGATCGAGACAATAAGGCCTGCATGCTCCGTGGTGACGTCACCTTAATGAGGCATAACCAGCCAGCCAGTCGTCAACTGAGCCCTTCTTCGCATCTCATTCGATTTTATCATGGAAAAACGAAGTTTCAAAGCAAAAACCAGAATAAAACACAAATTAAACACAATTAAATATATTGGCAAAAATTGTGGTGAAGGTAAACTTCACACTTTTTATATACTCATGATGTACTTCGATGACACATTTTTATATAGAAAATTCAACAGGAAATATGATTTTTATGGCGAATTTTTCATATTTAGTGAACAAGTATTCCAGATAACGGCCATTTAATCAATAGGCAATCTAAATACGAGATGTCAAATGTCAATAGATTGCCTAATGACATTACACACGCCTTTATTTTAAATGATATTCTCCCTTCTTTTCACTAAATATGGATAAATCTCAAGAATATCATATTTATTATAGTTGAATCATATAATATAATAGAAAAAAATGTGTCATACATTGTGATATATATAAATTGTCCAATATGATAAAAAGAAGGGAAAATTGTTCAGCAGTCTGCTGGTCTAATCTCGATGGTAACGGTTAAGTCAAACACAAGTCACAGAAATAGAAGAAAAGAATATTACGATTTCTGTAATTCTGTGGTCAAAAGTTGTTTCACTAGTTCTGTGGTTCCACTTCCACTTCAATGTTCAATTCAAATAATGTGAGGTTAGCTGAGTTCTCAAACAAAATTATAGTATTTTTATGTTTTTAACTATGTTAATGTGATATATTGGTAATTCGTGCATATTATTCGGCTGTGTCTGAACTGGGTGAGATGTTCACAAGCGAGTTTGAATTGTATGGTGGCAGTTTAAGGAACAAAAACTTTATACTTGATATGTGAACTTCAATTTATTATGAACCATCTCCACACCATCTCACCAGGTTCACATATTCTACTTCTACTAGTTAAACATCTTTAGTAAAACCAACACATTTAATATGGTAATCTATATTACATATTCAACAGACTTGGGTGATCTTACAAACAGAATTTATGAAAAAAATGATTTATTAATTACAATTGAGTTACATTAATTGATACAAAATGTTTTGTGGTGTGTTTTTCACTTACAAGATCGTGCTTGCTGCTCTTCTTCCTTCTTTTTCTGTTTTTCCCTCATCACTTCTGCATCTCTATAACATAACAATAAATGGAATTCATCATGACTCAATAGACAACACTGTATAGTATAATTTATCAAATACTACTACTCTCTGATACTACCTGCCAAAGGAAAAAAGGTAGGTTTCAGTGAAAGAATGTTTTGCTGCTACAGTTAAACAGAAACAAGTAATCCAAGTTATCCTTCATGGGCATTCATGAAAGTTCATACAGATTCATGAATCTCCTCCTTTATTGATGATATTGAGGTACCTATCTACCAGGAACAATAAAATGTAGCAGTCTGGCTGATACCTTCAAGTAGGTAAATAAAAGGTACTATAATATCAGGTCACCCCTTTCATGGACATTATCTTGGCACTGACTAATTATTGGAGAATACTATTTTCACAATAACTATTCAACTACAAAAGCCAGAAATGCATTTTTAATGATAAAAACACAAGCACACTAGTGCTCAAGGATCTACAAGACAAGTGGGTTTATCTGAGATCAGTTTTTATTGTGTTAATTTTTTCATATAGATGGCTCTAGTATGTGAAATGCATTATATCTCTTAAATGAGGGAAAAGGAGATAAATTTCACAAGACTTTGTATAATCATTACCTGAATTTTCGTTGTTCCAATGTGAGACCATCTTTATTTTTATTTTTGACGTCCTGTAGTTTCTTCTGATTCTTCTGTCGGGCGAGTTCTCGTTGATTTCCACCTATGGAAAACAATGACTAAAAATAGTAGAGGTATATCATGGAAATAATTATTATTGTACTCACGGGTCATATTTGAAGATGAATGGAAAATCAGATGAAATTAATGAATTAAATGATCGTATTATGAACTTAATTGTGCCCCCGAAGGCCGCAGCCTCTTTTCCAAATGATTTCAATACACTTTCCTCGCAGAACTCATAGAACAATCCTTTGGTGGACAGTTGGACACAGGGACACTGAACACTCACACTGTGGACAGAACTTCATTTATCATAAAAATTTCATATTTTGTGGTTGTGGTTGGTCTATGATTGAAGTAGAGATGAGCGATATCAATGTTTCTTAAAACATCGATTATTACCTCTGAATCTAAGAGTTGCTTAAATATCGATATATATTTCAATTTCGGTATATCACAGAAGCACAGCCGTATGAAACCTTGGTATTACATCAGTATATTACACTAATAATTTGCATTTTTTTTTCGGAATGAAAAGATCGCAACTTGGATCGCAACAAGAAATTTGAATTCTATTCTAGTAATCTATAGACGTTGACATACCAAAGTCATAAGTAGTCAATTGTCAATTCACTTGTTTGTCAGTTTATTTATTTTCTTCTAACTTTTTTGAGAATCTTAAGATTTGTATTCTGTGACCACCTGTGATTTCTGTGTTTATGGTATAGAATAGGCTTGCATTTCTGAATTTTTTCGGAGATTTGAAAAATTTCGATAGTAAATATGATGGGTGTTTATCGGAAACATTGATCTTAATTTTCTTGCAGTCGGTTGCGAGAGTGCCCTATTTTTGATATTGATGTCAAATTATTTTCTGAAGGAAATAGTGCCATGTGTGATAACCAAAATTTTGAATCTCCGAATCCTTTAAACATGGATCAGATCACGAACGATGATATTAAAAGTCTTCTGGACTATTTTTCCAAAAATACATATGGTGCCAAAGCAGAGGACTTAGAGGTAATAGAATGCTTATGTTTACACCCATGACCTAACCCAACTTTTGAATTACAGGCAAATACCATCTTACAGAGATGTATAAGTCTCATGAAGCTGGACTATAGCCTTATGGTGGTGCAAAACAATAACGGAGAATTGAGTTCTCACTACCCTAGTCAGCTACCAATCCTAGAATATGAGAATGGCAGTAATCAGAATCTCAATTCCAGTCAGTCTGCTCAAAGAACCACTAACACTATTTATGAGAGTATTTATGATGTTCAGAAAATACGTGATTTATTCTACAGAGCAAAATTCGCAAGGTAGCTATTTTTGATTACATATGTTTGAGAAGAATGGTGATATTTTTTTTGCAGGTGCCGTGCACGTTTTCCAATTCCTGTAATACTTTATAAAGGTAAATACATATGCCGTTCCTCCACACTATCAGGTGGTCCTGAAATTTATGGCAGATCTGGCTTAGACTATCTGTTTTATGGTAGTGGTGATACATCATCAAAACCTAGGACAGAAGATGAAGTTGATGTTGCTTGTGAATCAGAAACTGTTTCCTCTCAGTCAGATTGGCAACTTTTTGATAAAGTTCGAAGTCAGGATATCAAATTACTGAAGAAACTCAATGTTGGCACAATAGTTGACCTCATGGTGGAGAAAAAGAAAGTGAAATTTGGCATGTAGTAAGTTTTTCTCTTGGATAAAATAGTTTCTGAGTGTCAAGTTTATCATTCTAGTGTAACATCTTCAGAGAAAGTTGATAAGGAAAATCGTTATTCAGATTTCAACATAATATCCTTGCCATACCCAGGGTGTGAGTTTTTCAAAGATTTTCGTGACAATAATTTCAATGCTGAGGGCCTCATTTTTGATTGGAGCCAAGAACAGTGTGATGCAACTGTAAATGTCCCAGATAATCCATTACTAGCACAGTTGAAAATTGAATGGACAAATTATAAGAAGTGGGATCTAGTTACCATGACTCAAAATTATATGAAGTACCTGCTCAAATACTTACAGGTGAGCAAATCACTTGCTGCAAAACTGGCAAACTTATCTTTATCCAATAATTTTCATTTTCAGGACAACAGTTCAGGAATTTTAATCCACTGTATCAGTGGATGGGACCGTACTCCATTGTACATCTCTATGATCCGTCTCAGTTTGTGGGCAGATGGTTTAATCCATCAGAATCTGGATGAACGTCAGATACTCTATTTGACTATTGCCTATGACTGGATGCTCTTTGGGCATCACCTTTGTGATAGATTGGACAAAGGAGAAAACATATTTTTCTTCTGCTTCTACATGCTCAAGCATCTCATAGGCCATGAGTTTTCAATTGCTCCTGGCAGGTATGTTAACAGAATTTGTATGTAGCATGTTTTGGTGGGAAATTATCTTTCTTTCAATGACCAGGAAAGGTGGAAAGAGTGAAGTTCAGATTTCCACTTATCAGTCAACAAACAATTGTTATGAGTAATTTATTGAGTGCAAGTATTGTTTCAGGTACAAAAGAAAATTGGCAGACAAAGTTGTTGAAGAGAGTGTTAATAGAACAGACAGTGATACACAGTTGGAGCTCCTTTTGGAAAATGAGCTGAGAGGATCAAATATTAGTCTCAATTCAATCTGTTCAACAGTTAGTAGCAAGTCTCAGGAGCCCAATAATTGGTATCACCATTCTGATGAACCTAATGGGTGAGTATAAACAAATTAGTGTCTTTCAATGCTGACCTGTCTCTTTTGCATGTGAGAAGAGATAGTTATGTCAGATAAAAATTCCAACTTACATCAGAGAATTCTGGATTGACCCTCAGCATTATTTATTGAGATAGAATATCCTAATATACAAGCTAGAGTAAAGTAATAGTAAAGAATGGTGGTACATAATATGGACATGATTTAAAATATGTGAAGAATATTATGAAGTCAATCATAAGATAAGCATAATAATATCTCAAAACAATAATATAATGTGTCACAAGGGCAGAAAATAGCTTTAGCAGCCTGTGGCTATTAGCTGCACCAGCAAAACATGCCAAAAAAAACGAAAAATACAACAGAAATCTTCAGTTTCATAATTGAATTATTGATTGCAAACTGATTCACACTGATGTTTAATGAAAATTTATGTGAAACCAAACCAAAATTATCAATATACATTACTATTGGACATATGTTCAGATTGAGTTGTCAACTGCTGTGTGTCAATCTACTATCATATCAATACAGGGTGTTTCCTAACATCTCTGACAAAATGAAAAGAGGGAATCCTTGCTCAATTTTAAGATGAAAATGTAGAATAGTTGTATTTCAAATGTTGCATAGTTTTCAAAATACAAGGTGCTCAAATTTTGTTTTTAAATCAGTTATCATTTTTATTTTAGACATGCTTCACTTCCCATTCCATTTGGTAGGATGTTATAAATATTAACAACTCTTGCACCAAAAATGTATAATATCCTACCAAATGAAATTAAAGTGATAACTAAATACAAACATTTTGTTAATAGATGCAAACACTTCATTCACCTTAAAAGTAATCTAAAGAATGAAATGTTTATTTTCTTCATTGTAAGACTCCAGAGGGAGGACAGGCTCCAAAATTATGTACACCTATTGCTGGTTTCGGCATTTAATGCTGGTTTATTGCCGTAGTGCCAATATATTTCTGATATTGCCGACAAATGCCTGAATGCTGAAGATTATTATCAATGCCTTAGGACTAAAATACCTAATAGGTTTCTCATGGCCATTAACAATTCTGAATATATTTGAATTCCCTTTGAAAATATCATAAAACTTATTTGAAATTGGCAAAGAGTAGCTAAAATATCTCAAAAACATATTATCCAAAATGTTTGGTAGCAATATTTTTGTTCAGAAAAACGAATATTATAACTATGGATTCCCTTCAAATACAAGTTTGCCCATCATGCATATCTCCTTAGGGATATTTCTTTCACATTCCCCGCTAAACCCGGTTAGAGTATTTCGGTGAAGGTGGTGGGAGTCAACTACGTCATAATGACGTCAACATTAACTATTTCTTCCACTTTACCCACTACAAAAGTTTACCCGTGTATTTCTTAATTTGAATGTTTCCATCATATCCTCCATTTTTCACTTTTATGAATGTAAAAAAATTCAAGTTTAACTTTAACCACCTTTACCAACTATGGAGTTGGTAAACCCAAGGGCAGGTAGGAGAAGTGTACCCAAACGGAAATGACGTCACGGTTAAACACAATGAAATGGGCTTTTACCATGACGGGTAATGTGAATAAAATATCCCTCTTATTACCTATATGAAAGCTGATATGTATATAGTATGTAAACTCCTCTGTATACTCGTCTTCATAGAAAATGATGGTGTCAGCTATCTGCTTTGGAATTCTTTGCCAATGGAAGTACCTCCTCTCCCTATCTTCTCTAGGTATGCACGATGTTCCACGTACATTATAGGAATTTCCTTTCGTGCGCTCCAAGAGATGAAAAAAATCGGGACTTAGTATCTACCCACTTTCAATTTTGCTGCTGAGTATTTTGATTTCTATAGCGTTTCAGGTTCAGGCGGTAATTAATTTTGAAACTTCGAGAAAATGTCACGTGTAGGTAATTCAAGTTCAGCTTCAGGCTCGGCTTTAGAGCTTCAAGTACAGGGTGCGCCTCTTAAAATGGAATTCCTCCTTCATTTTTATCTTTAGAGATATGAAAAAATGTTGAATGAAGAAGTTGCGTTAAGCGACACAAACTTTTATTTCGTGAAGTTGTTTCATATACAGGGTCATTCGTTTTTCCAGAAAGTTACACCCTACATATTTTACGACATGTCAATAAAGACTTTTTTTCTGATTTCAAAAATATATATGAGTTGCATATTTGGATGAAAAATAGTTGAGTTATTGATGATCAAAATTTACCAAAATACCGCATCATGAACCTTCAATTCATATCATCTAGTGTATGTTGAATATAGTGGGCTATGAAATAACGTTTATTATATTGTTCAAGCTCCATGGAAATGTCATGGTATTGTTTATTATGAGATTGAAATCGTTCAATCTCAATACAAAAAATATGAATAGACAGTTTGAATGGAAGATTCGGTATTTTGGTATACTTTGATAATCAATAGCTCAATTATTTTTCATTCAAATATGCAACTCATAACTCATATATATTTTTGAAATCAGAAAGAAAGGCTCTATAGACATGTCAGAAAATATATAGGGTGTTCCATTGAAAAAATCAAATGTCCTTTCCGAAAAAACGAATGATTCTGTATATGAAGCAACTTCACGAAATAAAAGTTTGGGTCATTCCAAACAATTTTTTAATCCAACATTTTTTCACATCTCTGGGGGGTTCCATTTCAAGAGGCGCGTACACTGATTTCACGATATAATTTCATCGGGCGAAGTTTAGGTACGTTCAATGTTGTTAAGCAAAGAATATTTTCATATTATAATATAAGTCTATCAAATTGGTAATCTACTGCAGCATTCTAAGTCTGTTTTGTAGCATTATGTATTTGTGTTAGGTAAAACTCGTTTTACGTTTTCACAACTGATTTAATATATACTTTTCTCTTCTCATTTACCACAAAAGGTAACGTTTCTCTGCTCACTGAAATCTGATTAGTCTTAAGGAAATAATTGTAATCGATTATTGGATTTATTTCTGTAAGATTACATACAAATAAAATAAAATATTGCTGTCGTGTCTTCCCCTTGATTCATCATCATCATCAAAATACTTTATTGTCTGAAGATAGATACATCTTATTGATAAAGTCTGGAATCCTAAATTTAAATTTAAAAGTTTATAGTTCCAATATACACACAAATGTTGAAATCAGTTTTTTGGACAATACACAAGATAGTCAATCAATAATACAAATAAAAATAAAAAAATAAAAAATAAAATAATAAAAAAAAATTTTTTGTCGACACATCATTAAAAAAAATATATATGTATATACATTGCACAGTCTGTAATGGGCGTAAAATGTAAATTTAGTATAAATATTGGTAAGGTCAGGTAAAATACATCAACAGCTAATGATTTAAACTAAAATGGAAAGTCCAAAAAGTTGTATCCTACTTGATCAGATTAATAAAAACTCAGCTAAATTGATCTTCGTAAAATTCCTCTGTAGTATAATAGGCCCTCACAACCAAGAACTCTTTCACTTCTTTTCTGAATCTGGATACACTCTGTATTTCTTTTAAATTGCTGGGTAGGTGATTGAACAATTTTCTGCTCTTGTAAATAAGAGAATTTTGAGTAAGAGCTGACGTAGGGATGGGGAGTGCAATATGGTGTCTTGAACGTGTATTATATACTGACGAGTTGTTTATATCATTTCTGTATTTCTTGTGAATTAGACATACTGTCTCTAAAATAAAAAGACCTGCCAGTGTTAAAATCCTTTGCTCTAAAAACAATGGTCTACATGAATCGCGGCATTTGGCTTTACATAAATATCTAATGGCTCTTTTTTGAAGGGTAAAGACCATTTCAAACAGTTGCTGTGAACATATACCCCAAAAGCAAATGCCATAGCGTAGATGTGACTCTACTAATGAAAAATAAACCTGCCTAGCATCAGCAATATCCAATTCGTGAGAAACACTACGTACAGCAAAGCAACCCGATGCTGAACTTTTACACAACTTGTTAATGTGGCTTTCGAATCTTAACTTTTCATCAATAAATAATCCCAAGAACTTATTTTCCGCGGCATTGCTAATTATTCCATCATCTAATGAAACCTCCCTGATGTCACATCTGAATGATACGATGTTCGTTTTGTTGACATTGAATGATAGGAGATTTGCATCACACCACTCTTTCACCCTTATTACATCCACACTGATGTGATCGAATAGATCGGCTATTGATTTATCGTGCCATAGGATTGTGGTGTCATCTGCAAACATTGTGAATTTACCCTGGATGTCCAACTGATTCAAATCGTTGACATACAACATTAGTCTGCACTTATCAATGCTCACTACTACATATGTTTATTTTTTTCCAACTGATAATATATTTTGCATTACTGCACACACAGATGTTAGCCCACCTAGGTGCATACCTATAAAAATTTGTTACCACATAAAAATGTATAAAATGTTCATTATTTTTCAATGAATTGAAAATAATCCGAAGGATATTCTCTCTTCAGGAACCCCGCCAATTGCGGCAACTCTCTAGACGTCCGCGACAACCTGGCCTTGGGGGCCTCGGCCTCCCCACAGGCGAGGCGCACTTCGCCCGTCACAGTGCCCATGGGCACCAGACTGAAAAGAACGGAATCGTCCACCACGACCAGCAGCATCCACAGCAACCACAGCACGCAGAGCACCCAGAGCACCCACAGCACCGGCAGCTGGCAAGTGGTTACCACCACGGGGTCGCTGCGGGGGTCGGACTCCTCCAGCGGGGGGGACATGCCTTTTTCGCACTCGTCGATGTGCACGGTGATCGATGGGGACGAGTGGTTGCAGGACGGTACGGCTTTTCCTTTGCCTTGGTAAGTGGAGAGTGGAGCCCTTTCGATAATGTGGGTCATCTATATTAATATTATAAAGAGGAAAGAATTTATTGTTTGTTTGTTTATTTGTTAAATTGAATAGGCTCCGAAACTACTGGATCGATTTGGCTGAAAATTGGTGGGGAGATACCTTAGAACCAGGAGGAGGTTATAGGATACTTTTTTCCCAGTACCATTAAGAAATTCAAGATGACAGGTCTAATATACAGTGTGTCCCACTCACCATATGCTCACCATGGGTATCTTTTTAACGGTGAGAGATACGAGGTCGGTTAAATGACACCAAATGTGGAGTTTGTCAAGGCCAACTATAATGTGAAAAAATATTTTGATGAAATCTATTCGTTTTTTATACGCAAAAAACAGATTTTGATCATTTTCATGTCTCCTCCATAACTTCTTTATTGATGAAAATATTCAAATAGGAATTTCACATTCCCATGGCAGTTTTTCAAGGTGATTTCGAAAAAAATATGAAATTTATACCAACTCTTCTAGAATTTGAGATATCAGCACCAACTTTAGTTTTTCAAATGTAGGTCATAGCTCACTATGACTTAGTTACAAATAACTTTTTTTTCTCTCACAGATGATATGTCACAGTAATAGTTTTGTGTTGATAATAACGGAGTTATCGTCATTTATACAAAAACAAAAAATTATTTGGAAGCCGCCATCTTGAATTTATGAATTTTAACAAAAGAATCATGATCTCCGACCTCAAAAACCCCCACTTACCAATTTTGAATGGAATCGGACCAAATCTTGTCCGCCATCTTGGAGCAGCCATTTTTTTAAATTTCAATAAAAATTCCATAACTCCGATCAACTTGAAATTTGGCAGGTGTTCATAATTCCGGTGACTGGTGAATTTTTGTTGAAATTAAAAAAAAATGGCTGCTCCAAGATGGCGGACAAGATTTGGTCCGATTCCATTCAAAATTGGTAAGTGGGGGGTTTTGAGGTCGGAGATCATGATTCTTTTGTTAAAATTCATAAATTCAAGATGGCGGCTTCCGAATAATTTTTTGTTTTTGTATAAATGACGATAACTCCGTTGTTATCAACACAAAACTATTACTGCGACATATCATCTGTAAAAGAAAAAAAGTTATTTGTAACTAAGTCATAGTGAGCTATGACCTACATTACATTTGAAAAACTAAAGTTGGTGCTGATATCTCGAATTCTAGAAGAGTTGGTATAAATTTCATATTTTTTTCGAAATCACCTTAAAAAACTGCCATGAGAATGTGAAATTCCTATTTGAATATTTTCATATATAAAGAAGTTACGGAGGAAACATGAAAATGATCAAAATCTGTTTCTTGCGTATAAAACAAAAACGAATAGATTTTATCAAAATATTTTTTCACATTATAGTTGGCCTTGACAAACTCCACATTTGGTGTCATTTAACCGACCTCGTATCTCTCACCGTTAAAAAGATACCCATGGTGAGCATGGTAAGTGGGACACACTGTATAGGACGTGTTTTGTAATTATGATCCGATTCTGTTCAAAATTGGTATCTGGGGGTTTGCGGGGTCGGAGATTATGAATCCTGCGTCAAAATTCAAGATAGCGGATTTTGTAATAAGGATCCGATTTTATTCAAATTTGGTATCTGGTGGTTCTCGGGGTCGGGGATTATGATTCTTTCGTCGAAATTCAAGATGGCGAACCCGATATGGCGGACCAGTATTGTAATTATGATCCGACTCTCTTCAAAATTGTTATCTGGGTGTTTTTGGGGTCGGAGTTTATGATTCTTTTGTCAAAATTTGGAAAGGGCGGGATTTAGAAATTCAAGACGGTGGAATTAATATACCGGACGAGTTTTGTATTTATATACCGATTCAATTCAAAATTTGTTAGTGGGCGTTTTCGGAATCAAAAATTATGATTCTTTCGTCAAAATTGGGAAATTCAAGTGATCGATGGGGACGAGTGGTTGCATTGTCTTTGCCTTGGTAAGTGAGGTCCTCCTTTCGATAACGTGGATTCCTCGAAAGACCCGAAGAATCTTCGATTCTTCCACTCTTTCATAAACTCGTTTATTGATTTATAAATTCATTCATTGGTTCATAAACTCATTCATTTTCATTGATAAATTAATCCATTGATGAATTCAAAAACATGCATTGATTTTTTAAGCCATAAACATGAATCTATTCATTGATTCATAAATTCAATGAATTATTCATTAAGATATTCATTCTTTCATAGATTCATTAATCTCTTGATAACCTCATTATATTATTCAATGATTCTTTCATAAATTACAAGTACATCCCTTCATACGTTAGTTCATTTCATAAATGTATTCATTCCCTTGTTAATTGATTTATTAATTCGTAAATTATGAGTTGATTCCTTTGATAATGAATTCATTGATTCATAAGTCTATTCGTGCATTCATGAATTCAATCGTTTATTGATTAATTCATCTTTTCACAGAATCATTCATAATGTGATAAATTTATTAATTTATTCCATAATTCATTCATAAATTATAAATGTATCCCTTTTTGAATCCATCCATCCATTCATTCATACATAAATGCTTTCATTAATTGTTACATCCATTCATTTTTTATAAATTCACTCATAGATTTAGATTTATTCTTCCATAAATTCATATAAATCCATAAATTCATTCATTCATGAGTTATTTAAACCTTGTGAATCATTTGTTATGCCAACGAAGTCATAAAAATTATAATTTGATGATCTGTTGCATTTTTTTTTTTCAGGAGGCTAAAAATCTAAAAACGAAATATCTTCATATTTTCATACATTGTGTCTCAATTTGCGCCACCACATCTGTTTCTTTATTTGTGTAACTCATTCTTTTTTTTTTTCAATCATGCTACTACAAAAATACCGACAAAGATTGGGAAAGCGAGTTGATCATGTTTTTTTAAATTTCGAAGACGGCGATCGTTTTGGACTAGTCCTAAATACTCCTCTATGAAATTCCATTCAATTATTTCATACATGGTGTGTGACATACACTCCACAAATCTGTGTTCAATTCTTGATTTCTTTTCAGTCGCAAGGATCGGCTATTGAAGGTGCGTGAATATTTCTATGGATGTTATTTCCAGTCGATCGGTTGCAAGAATGTGAGATTCGGACCGGATTCGTCCATTGGGGCAATATTTGGGAACATTGCCGAGAAGGTAGGATTCTCTCAAAGAACTTAACAAAATGTGTTTATGAATTGTATTCCTAATTGTTGATAGAGTGAGTCATTGGCGAGTGATTCAATTTTAATGACTGATTAAATTTAAGGTGTTCATTTTATAGATTTAATTACATATTGCATTTCATTGTCAGAACAGGGATCAACTGTTTTTATGGATAATTTTAGTATATCCTCTCCCCAGCTGTTTTGTTTGCTTTGATTTCACCAGAATATAACTGAAAGCTTCATGAATTTAACAATACTACTTATTCAATAACTAAAATACCGAAATTTAGGGGATGATTATGGAAACATTAATTGTTGGTAATGTTTTAAATGTGAAAATTCCAATTCTATCTATTCAATATTTTATCAATGTCAGTAGATAGTAATGTTGTTGATTCAAATTGAAATTATTACTGTTTGAATTTGTTACAAGGCAATAAGGATATTCTGATAAATGTAAAATTGTAGCATTGTATGGATTTGAAACTGTAAATTACCCACAAAACATGGAATTGATCAAAATTTCATGGCAGTTATATCTTTCAAATCATTGACTACATTTACTCAGGCATAATTATTACTTTGAATTTTAATTGAATTTATAATCCTCACACCTATCAAGATTCAATCATTGAAAATTGTGATTACACTGTAAGGCCTCAATCCAAACAGAAAATACATTTGCTGGGTAAATGTAATCGATTCATGGTGGAATTTGGCAACTCTTGAGTTGTTTGAAAAATATTGATTATTTGATGATGAATTTTCCATTCATTAATACCATTTTGCCCATAATTAGTGAACGTGTACTAATAAAATTGGGACACAATAGTCATAAAACGGTATTTGAATTTTCCCAAGATAAGGGTCTGGTGTCAGTGAAAATTTCAAAATATTAATTTTCATCTAAAAAAGGTGCTCTATACATGAACTGATCAGGCCCTAAAATGGAAAGATATATGTACAGGGTGGGCCACCAGTAACGCCTCGGTCTCTAGAAGGCTAACCACTTATCTTCTTGGAATTCTTCCTTTCTAGGAAGTTGCATGTCAACATAGGCTACCATTTAAAATTATTTCGAAACATACAGGGTGTCCCCAAAAACCATAAAACACTGAAGTTGAACATTTTTCTATCGAACACCCTATATATTATTTCATTTTGAGATTCTCCCTGATGAGCTGATTTCAACGACCCATCATACTTGGGGTCTAGCAGTTATAATTACTGAAATATAGGGTGTGAAAAATCGAGATTTTCCAAGTTCAAGGATTTTTTGTGTCGAAACTATTCATAATTGGTCAAAACGGCTTACATGTCCCTATCTCAACTTTTGATTAACTATCTACTGATATTTAATTGGGACATATACCGGGTGATCAAGATTCTAAATTCTGCACCACCCTGTATTTGTTCAACTTCAGTGTTTTGTGATTTTTGGGGACATCCTGTATGTTTTAAAATAATTTCAAATGGTAGCCTATGTTGACATGCAACTTCCTAGAGAGGAAGAATTCCAAGAAGATAAGTGGTTAGCCTTCTAGAGACCGAGGCGTTACTGGTGGCCCACCCTGTACATCTAGAATGGAAAGTTAAGGACCTGACAAGAAGCAAAATGATAATAATGAACAAATAGATCGTCATAAATTCTTGATATCCAAAACTACCAATTACTCAGGAGTTGCATGGTTTCATTGCTTACCTTGTACAATCGTGTTTAGTATACAGGGTATGTCACAAAGAGCTTACACTATCTTTATATCGAGAATCAGTCGGGAGAAATCCATGAAAATGTGCATGCTTATATTTCAGAATATGCTCTCTTCATTTGAAATATTCTTGACAATGCAGTGTTGCCGCTTCTACTAGAAAGTAGTAGCAACATTGATATTTTGAATGGAACACCCTGTATTTTATCGCCTTTTTAGATTCTCCCTGAAGAGCTGATTTCATCGATGTATCACACTTGGGGTCAATCGAAAATGAATACAGAGATATAGGGTGTTCAAAATCGAGATTTTTCCTTAAGTATTTTTTTTGTGTCGAAACTATTCATTATTCGGTCAAATGACTCACATGTCCCTATCCCAACTTTTGATTCACTATTTACTGATGTTTAATAGGAACAGATACAGGGTGGTTCAACATTCACATTTCTGATCACCCTGTATCTGTTCCGATTAACTATCTGTGAATAGTAAATCAAATGTTGAGATAGGGACTTGTGAGTCTTTTTGGCCGATAATGAGTAGTTTCGTCACAAACAAATTCTCAAGTTGAAAAATCTCGATTTTGCACACCCTATATCTCTGTAATCATTTTCGATAGACCCCAAGTGGGATGTATCAAGAAATCAGCTCTTCAGGGAGAATCTAAAAATGCAATAAAATACCGAGTATTCTATTTGAAATTACAAAGTTGTTGCTTTTTTTATAGAAGCGGCAACACTGCATTGCTGAAAATAATAAAATGAAGAGAGCGTATTCTAAACTATAAGAATGCTTATATTCATGGATTTCTTCCGACTGATTCTCGATATAGAGATAGTGTAAGCTCGCCGGACATACCCTGTATACTTCTTATCTATTTTTGTGATCAAGAGAAAATATTTTTGAATCAGTTGCACAATTTGGCGTTTTCATTACACGCTAGGATGACTGCCAATCAAATGCATCACATTAATTCAGAAGCTCAAAATCGTTGAATGGGCGTTAAATACTCATGGTGGCATTTTTGTATATTTCAATGAATTGTAGTTGATTATTTCTTAATAGTTCAGACCCATTCTGAAGTGATATGGCCTAAAGGCTCTTGGCTTTGTAAAAGCCTCCCTATTGTGATTCTTTAAAGATGGTCCCATTGTAGGGACCCAAATAATATTAGGATTAGTTTATATTTTCACAATGCTTCCTCAATGTTTGTATGAAATATCTGTGAATTGTTGTTGTGCTGACATCACTTGTTCAAATTAATAAAATAATAAGCCCCCAAAGGAAAATCGAAAGATAATTTATGGAAAAATTCCACAGGTGAATTTGGAAATCTTCTGTTAACATTCCAGTAGAACTCGAGGTGTCATGCATTTTTTTGTAAAATTTTATTATTGAGACAGTAGACAGTATTGGTAAGGAACATACTGAAACGAAATTTCATGAATATTTTTGAATAGAATGAATTCACAGAATAGCTAAACCAAACAACCATTTCTTCATAAAGACTTACTGCCGCAAGAGTAAACATAATAGTTAACGAATTATTTTCCTCTACTTATGTTGAATGTGTTTGAAAATTTTAATGTTTAAAAATAACAGATTTTTTTCATTTGTTCCTCGAACATCGAATTCTAAAACTCTCTACTTATAGCGAATTTCATTGGTAAACCTGGTGGTGCACTGGTTTTGCACCCGCGCACTACGTTGGTTCTCTCCAAAATGTGAACTGGTGCATTCCCAATGGATTACGAAATAATATAATAAAATTTTATTGTTGGTGGTTAAATCGGATGAATTGGTTTGTCATTGTTCATAACTTGTCCGTATCCTGAAATTCTTTATTGACTTCAATTAAAAACAAAGTAGATGTTTCATGGAAATAATTCTGGGGAGTTTTTTTTCAATAAGAACCTCTTCATCATTGAATGTTAGTGCAAAACACTTCAACAAAATTATGAATTATGGGAAGTAGTCTCCTTTATTTTCTTGAAACTCCCGAATTTTCATCACTACTTGATGATGATGATTGGATTGCCACGCAATTTTGATTTTTAAACTATGCATATTCAATGTTTCCGCCATTTTCAAAACTGCACTGTCTTCGCACGACCTAAATAGAGCCCGTGCGAGAATGGGGGAGACCACTGATTTTTTGAAACGGCATTATCGTGAACTCTATACTGAAAAACTTCCAGTGAATTAATTTTGAGTTTTTTCATTCATGCTAAGACGATGAAAAAAATAAATTAGGATATGTCCATTTCTAAACACACAATTCCTGCGCCATTTGAAATTTTGTCAATTCATTGGCGAGACTGGTGCAACGTCTTAGTCCCAACACGCCTATTGTCCTTGAACTCACCAATCACACTGCAACACTACAGAATGACGAGGTATCAGAGAGAGATAGCTACAGTGCGGGACTAATACGTCACAGCTCCACCATCATATTTGGCTTTTCGAAATAACGAATGAAATATGCTGATTTCAAAACGATATAGATTCGATTCCCTTCAACTTCAACTCATAATATTGATTGTAGATCAAACGTAAATCATGATTCGTCGATTGAAAGAGGTTTGCACGGATTTCTTCCCTCAGTGGTCTTCCCTATTGTTGCACTGAGCTCTAAACTATGTGAACCAGTTTTCCAATGGAATTCAGAACCCGACACCAGTTTTACCAAAGGAATACAAAATATGCTCTCAGTGCGAGCCAGTTTTACCAATGGAATTCGCTATTAGTTGTTTTACTACAAAGTGCTTTCATTTGTGACATGGTTCTCAACGAAACAAAAAAGACGACGACAAACAATGACACAGTTTATTATTATCAATGTCAGAAATGGAAACAACAAACAACTAGTGAAAATCAAATTGAGTGTTCACCATTTGATGCTAATTTGTGTTATCTTAGTTTCAAAACTAATGGTATCTCAATCTCTGACCTGATTGTACGAGGGCTGCTCAAAAAATCATCACTCTGAACCTATGGTATGAATACCTACCAATCCGTTCAGTGAAGGCGGATTCATGCAACATTCATTATAATTACATTTTCACTACATTAAAATTACATTTTCACTACATTAAAATTACATTTTCACTACATTAAAATTACATTTTCACTACATTAAAATTACATTTTCACTACATTAAAATTACATTTTCACTAGCCGCGGGCTACCCGGTCATGCAACGCATGCTCATAATGAACTAATTATTCGAGGTTATGTGATCTGCTTGGATTTTACAAATGTTTACAGGTTATTTGAGAATATGGATTTATTTTGAATATAATATCTGTGGTGAATCACAAATAGTTTTGTGGAAAAAATGATCATTCAATGATCTAATCTTGCAAATCATTCGTTTTCACTAGAACTATAATGTAATTATAATGAAAAGTTAGAAGTTGGTCAACTTCTTAGTGCACTAATGTGATGAAAATGTAATGAAAATGTGTTAATGTGTTGCATGAACGCATTCTATGACATAGGAGTTCTCAACATTCTTAATTTATAATGTAATGAAAATGTAATCATAATGTCTGTTGCATGAATCGGCCTTGATATTCAGGGGCAAAAATATCGTAAGCTATTTTTTGACATGTTTGATATTCATTTTGAATTTTGTGAGAAACGTAGATTCTTCTGATGAGGCAAATTGAAATGGGTGAGGGTTGCGTGCACTTGAATATATACCAAAGAAGGGAAGATTTGTATTTCGTGCTAGATAATTTATTCAAAATATGCGTAGCCGAGCGCTTTCGACTGTTAAGTCATCATCAGTGCGTACTCGTCAGGTTAACAGGGAAATTCGTCCATAAAAATATCTTTGGTCCAGTTTAAAAGTAACGACAAAATACGTTACCAACAAATTAAAATGTGTTTCCCAAAAGGGGGTAAAATATGGATTACATTTTGTGAAGCACTGCTACATGTCGTGTTGAAGTGAACTTGATCACGACATGTCTCAGCGACAATGGCTGCTTAACAAAATGTAATCCATATTTTACCCCCGTTTGGGAAACACATTTTAATTTGTTTGTTACGTATTTTACCTTAATGTCGTTAGTTTTAAACTGGACCAAAGATATTTTTATGGACGAATTTCCCTGTTAACCTGACGAGTACGCATTGATGATGAATAACTTAACAGTCGAAAGCGCTCTGCTATGAATATTTTGAATAAATTATCTTGCACGAAATACAAATCTTTCCTTCTTTGGTAAATTGAAATGGTGCAATTTAGTGTTGAAGGATTCACATAATTTGGCCGTTTTTCTTTATAGCAGAAGATTCTAAAAATAACTACACTGACAGTGCTCACAAATATGAGGTGTCATCAGTTTTGAAACAAGTATTGAATACAAATTGTATGTGAAGTTGTGTAGGTCATTTTTGATGTTCATATGGTATTTCATAGTATTTAGGTTTTGAATCATTTTAGCCAATGACTTTGTTATTTATTTTCTTATTGAAAGGCATTTTGTAATTGTTTGTGAGTTTATTTCGAATCTTGTATTTTTCAAGAGGGAATATTTGCTTTTGATACATTTTGTTAGTAGGATACTCTTACTTATCCTAAAAGGTTGTGTATGTAACAATATAAAGATTTATGAGCATTGTTAACAGCAAATATTTGTGCCTCTTATTGTTAAAAATGTTACTGTAAAGTTTTATGTAAAATTTAAAGAAATATATCTATATTTGTAAATTTTCGTTGGATCCTTCAAACCTTTTCATATTTTGGTGTTGGTAAAACCAACGTTGTAGGTTGTGTCATGAAAACTAAAAAAAAATTTCATTACATTTTGAACCGGAACAAAATTATCAATTCATGCCTAGCATGATTGCATTAAGAGGGATATTCAGCTCCATTTATTCAGTATGGTGCAATAAAACAAAGAATATATTTAAATAATTTATTCACCTATCAATCTTTTGCACCATCTAAAAATTATTATTTTTTTTTTTTACAAAAGAGAGCAAACATAAGGATAGTTCTGATTCAATAGGGTACAAAATATTTTTTTGTTGTTCTCGCACAGCCTTTGCTTATCACCCACAATTACATGACTGTGTGTATTGGAGATTGTAGCGAGGACATATTTTTCACTTTCAGAAGGAGACACACCAAAATTGCAGATTAGTCTAGTACAATAATTATCTGAGTCCAGCTCTCATTTCAAATTAATAAACAATGAATAATCTCTTCTATCAATAGGAGGTTTTGATTTTATATTAGATCAAAGTATATTGCTGACTCATGAATGTTAGTGAATTTTTTGTGGGTGTATCATAAAAGGAAATGATCCACTATTCAAAAAATAAGTTGATGAATTTTTTGTTTTTGTTTTTTGTCATTGACAATGCTTTTAAACATTTTTTTTTGGTGTATCTACCTTAAAAAAGTTCTATTGTACTTATGCTATAAGTGAAGATGAAAATGAATGCTGTAGATTCACCTGTAAAAAAGTGAACACCAAGAATGTCTCAACATTGATAAATATAACTTAATTCTACTTCTCTGTAAGCATAATATTAAGTGACTGTTTGCTTACACCAACGTTTTCTCTCTTAATTTAATGATCGAGGCAAATAAGCTACCTTAAAGTTGACCTGAAATATATCTTTAAATTTCATACAAATTCGAAAAAAAAAAATCAGTGTATATACAAATCCTCATGTCCAAACTATCAAACATATTTCCTGCCAAATTGTTACTTTGAAGTTTTGAAAAATAAATATACACACTCCAGAACATAGGTGAGAGGTCACAATTCCAATATTTACATTCAATCTTCCAACCAATCTCAAAAATCTCCATTAGGTTGTCATTGAATATTTTTTATAATTTTCCAAATAATTATCAACAAAACAAATCCAGATGAATATCTATCTGAATCAACAAAATATTGTGGTAAAAAACATTACACCAAATATAATAATATTTGCTGAGAGATCAGTCTCCTAATCAATATCTTATTTTTCTGAAGTGTCAATTTCGAATCATTTTGAGTATATTCCCATCATTTCAATAACCTTGGATATTAAAGAAATTGATTAGAAATGAATGTTCAATTGATAGAAATTAAATAAACAATTGTAAACTAGAAGAGATTCAATAATAATTCAGTTTGCCATCTATCTCACCCCATATTCAAAGGTATATAACTTCAAGAGAAAGAAATAAGAACATCTTTATATACAGTACGCGAGATCTCGTTCAGTAGGTCGGTAAATAATTAAGAGGATGCTGAGGTAGGAATCTCCTGAGGTGCCCTTCTGGTAGAAGGAACAAACTCAGCAGCTTCAGGATTAAGTTTTGAGTTTTGAGCCACATTATCTGGTGAAGGTGTTGCACTGAAAGATAAATTCAAATCAATTCTCTTGAGTATTCAATACATTTATCATATAACACATACAGGGTAAACCACTCAAAGATATGATGTCATCAACATTGTTGATTGTCCCACTTCTCACTTTCCATTCAATATTTGAATTCTCATAGAATTTGGAACTTTGAAAAAGTGACATATTTTCCAAATTAAATTAAACAGATTGACAAACTAGCTGAAATTTTAGTAACATTTGCCTGAAATGCGAATACATTTGTGCAAATCTTCATGGATTCACTGTATAGTGGGGCAGGTTGCCAGTTATGTGTTGGGACTAAAAATCACTATTTAATGGCACCTTAAATTAGGACAGATTAGCTATGGACAGGTATACCTAATTTATATTCTCTGTGCAAGCAAGGTGAACACTAGTCATTACCTTGTTATTGCTAAAAAATTTAAAATCCAATCAATGTTTGTAAAACAACCATGAAGCACTGACCTTTTATGTAAATACCTTCCTCAGTTGAACAAATTTTGATCAGCTTAAAACTTGATTGACAACACACAGAAATTCAACAAAATAATTTCACCAATTATATTAGGTGCAGGATCTAATTTCCTGTAACCTTGAAATTTCCAATTCATTGAAGACAACTTGTGCCAACAATAGACCTATTTGATTGATATTGCAATAGAGTTGAATATTGAAGAACTCACTTTTGTTGGTTGGTTGGGGTTCCAGGGTTAGTTTCATCATTCATGAATGCCTCAATACACTGTTCCATTAATGCTTCCTCTTCTAATCGCTGCATTACCTACAGGATATTTTCAAATGTAAAAATATTCAGATGAATATGTTTTAAAACCAACCTCTTTATCAAACTCTTCCTCATTTTCCATCCAAAGGTACTCTGAAAAATCATTTTCGGGAGCTGTATTGAACTCTTCAACATTATTTTCAATGCTCTCTGAAAAGTAGGAGTTGTCTTCATAGTTATAGATACCATTGTCAGTGGACTGATTTCCTGGCATTTTCATAGTCTAAAAATGTGGATATTGGTAATTCAATACAGCATGCACACAAGATTCCTCCATTTTATTATAGACAAGCACAGCAAAAAATGTGTTTTTTTTACTCACCAAAAATTGAAACGCCACAAATATTGAATATGGACGTGATACGTATGTTGAAGTTTCTGAAGAAACTGAATTGTTTTTTCCTTCCTTACTGCTTCGATTTCTCAAAGAAACTTTTCCAATATTCCAATTTCCAGACGCAGTACTTCCACTATGTTGTCAAACAAGTCGGTCGTCGTCGTCAAGCGATTACAGGCGAATATTAACGAAACGCAACCAGGAATACGAAAAAACAGTCGAATACCCTAGTTTTGCTTCTGCTCGTGTCGGTAAGTAGGTTCCACAATGACCAACAGATGAGGACACTCGCAAAACTGGGGACACTAACCTGTGATGACCCTTTTCGGAATGCTTTTTGGAGATGCCTTTCACTTTATTACCTCGAGAAATTATTCTTTGAACAAAGCAGAGATGTACTCAGGGTTGCCTAAAACTTAGGGACTGTTTGTAGTAAGCAAACAACAGTGGTCATTGCCCATGCCATGCGGATGTGGACGATGTAGGATGTAGTTGATATTTCTTCTATATCATAGAATATAGAGCCAGAAACCACAGCGCAATATTTCGTGTAGAAGGTGGACAATATGCAATTTATTTTCTACACGAAATAATTCCTCATCGGGCTCGATTGCATACCGAAAGCGCCATCCATTATCAAAATATCGAACTACTGAAGGTGATCATTTTATTCAGTTTATTTTGAAAGTGTTTTTCAGAAAAATGAAATATGTTTTTGCTATTTTTGTTGGACTCTTGGGGTTTTGTAGTATGGATCAGAATGCAAGAAACGCAATTCACTACAAAATAGTGTATTTTAAGTTATATATAGAAACAAATAGGCAATTTCCTATACAATATATCAAATAGAGGCCAATCGCATATTGGAATATACTTAGGAATGATCACTGAATAAGACCACTAGGAAAGTTCAATTTACATGAATTACATTAGGTATGTATGTATTTTTCTTAATATCGAATATTCATTGAGTGTTTCTATTCCAAACAAGGGTTTACATGTATTATAAATCCCTTCCTAGTCTTGGTGCATACAGAGTTGACATTCGTTTTCCTAAGCGAGGAGCAAATGGTGGGGATCTTTGAATCACATACTCAGCTGAATTGTCATCATCTTGTAGCCATTTCTCGTTTCCTGAGACTCCTGAGAGATCATCATCGATATTCCTACCTAGTCGTGGCGTAAAGCTGCTTCGTTTACCTTGAAACAAAAATGAAGGTCATTATAACATTAATACCAATTATGTGCCATATGTCATATGTGGTAGTTTCGCGAAATCCCAGATTGCAAATTGAAATATATTTTCATCGTGATTATTACGCATATTTGTTCTGAATATGGTTACTTTGGAACTTTGCATTGCTCACAAAAAATCTAAGTCGTATAGTGATAATATTTTCAGGATAATAATAACCACAATGTCATTACCACAAAATGAGGTAAATTTATATAGTTGAAAAGAGCATCATCAAGAAACATCGCGACGAAGTCTATATTATATTAAAAGGAAAGACTGGAGAAGTCTCAGAGAATCCTCGCATGAATGGGCCCAATGGGGTTATTAAAAAGACATTTTATTGTCTCAAAAACTTCCACAGTGACTATACGGATTTATTTTTCATTTGGGCTATTTTTCCAAATCTCAATTTGAACAACAAAAATAATGAAATGCGGACATTTTGCTGCAAATAAGAACGGGAGATGGCTTTTGTACATCGCACGCAGGTTTTTAGTTGCAAAATTAGTTACATAATATAGTACTATCACCACAGTTTAAGGAATGGGTGACTTTACAGTTACTGCCCCAGTGTTTGCTGGGATATATATATATATGTACCTATAGAGATATATATCCATGCTTCACTCACCTTTTATATTTTTGCATACTAGTTTGTCATTTCCATTGACTGCAATTAGGGCTAGTGGAGAATCCTCATATGCTTCCACTAATTCTGCCAATTCTTGTTCACTTGGTTTATTGTATGTTTCTTCTTTGGAATTCCTCTTTTTTCTTCCCAGTCGGGAAGTGAACAACGAATATTTGTCATCATCTATCCCCTTAGTTCCAGAAGTGCCATCAAACTAAGAGATAAAAAGAAAGCTCGAAAAAAAATTTAAAAAAAACTATCAAAACATATTCCAGAAGTTCTTCTGATTGCAAACATATGTTTATTTATTTTCTTCCATATTTTGTTAGCATGCTGTATAAAAGTTTACTTATAAAATAATGTGCAATATTATTGAGTTATGTATACAGGGCCGTGTCTCTAAAAGGTCTGTACCTACAAAATAATTGCTATGTGAGAATCTAGCCCAGTCCAAAAGTTGTTACTTTCCAAAGTACAGGATTTCATACTTCCCAGCGAGCACAAACATCCCTGGGATGTTTTGGGATGTTTTGAAAATGTTGGCATGAAGATGTTATTTTGAGACGTAATATGCACTGACCAAAGAGGTCTTTGAAGGATATTGAAGTATTGTTTTTGATCTTCTGTTGCATTTCCTTGTTTGCCTACTGAGAGGTATCCCTGGGATGTTTTGGGATGTTTTAGAAATGTAGGCATGAGGATGTTTTTTTGAGGCGTAATATGCACTTCCCAAAGAGGTCTTAGAAGGATATTGAAAGTATTGTTTTTGTTCTTTTGTGCACTTTTTTTGTTTGCCCCACCACATCGTCTCATGCTTACGTCACAATACGATGAATTCTGATTTGTTTTCGATTTTGTTTTCTTGTTCGCAATTGGCATTCGCGTTTGCAGCGTTTCACGCTTACATCATGCTGCTAACGAACAGAAAGGAATTTGGTGAAGTTTATTGTGTTAGAAGACTTATTTAGTTTGTAATAATGACCATCAGATGCAAGATGTGTTGTTCGGTGCCTCAGTGTAATCAAGATATAATAGTACGAATTCATCAATAGGTACACAGCTTCTCCGCAGTTGCAAAATTATGCATTGTGGAGAACATTTCAAAAATTGGGAAACCTATTTCCAATTATATGTCTCTGTGTGTAGTAAGCACTACTCAGAAACCGATTAGGAAGGTAATTTCATATCAAGAAAATATTTTTATGTTCAATCTATTTTTAATGCATTTTTTCATTCAAGGGAAATGGAATCCTAATGCAAAAGTTCATTTTGACAAAAGGCTTCAGAAAAGTACCTCGAAAATGTTTTTTTTACAGCGATTTAATGTGCGCAAGACGCGTTGAAAATGTTCTGTTGTGTCCATGAAAAGGCTTTGAAAAGAACTAGGGAAAAGGTAGTTTTGTGACATATCAAGGACATCTCGATAATTGCCGCCTGCGGAGGACATTGGCTGTTCTATAATAGTTCTATTCATGTGTGAACAGAACATCGCAGTGGAGGTTCAATGTGTCGACATCTCGTACTTTTAACATCTCTGAGATGTTTTTGTGCTCGCTGGGATGCAGGACACAATCACGGAAATTTGAAGTGTTAAGGGTAGAACAGAACAAACTCACCCTTTGACTTGCTAGAATCACTTCGAAACAGAACTGGCTTACGAGAATCACAGCACAAGACACAAGAATAACCCTATCCATGATTAAACTATGGAAATTCCTCAGGACTGTGGAGGGTTTTATACAATCCATGTTGCGTCAAAATCCACAGGGGGTCGATTCGATAACATCCCCTGTAGTTTCGGGAATCCTGGATGCTAATCTATCACTATTTAATCAAGTAATCTTTGATTCGGATTCATCAATTATTTTTAGTTGTATGTTGTTCGACCATTCGAGATCTAGGAATTGTTTGGGTGAAAATAACATTCTGTCTTACCGATACCTATATCTTATCACATATCAGTTCGAATCAACTATACAGTATTTGGATATCCACCACCGTGTTCCTATTCTTTCTCTATTGAATGATTTTTTCAATCTGGAGACTACAAAATAATACAAAAGCTCTTCCTTATTGAGCAAACAATTTTCATCAAAAATGTCTTTTCAAAATACGTTTAATTTTTATTGAGCAAACAATTTTCGAGAAATCATCAAAATTTTGTTTTTTTTTTCCATTTTCGCTGCCTTTTTACTTTTCTATGGTTGTATCGAAGGTCTCTCAAAATGGTAGAAATTATTAAGTTTGTAAATTTCACAGATTTGGAAAGAATGTCTGTCTACCCTACCTATCTATATACAGGGTGCATCATAATTCTGGATCAGGATATCAGGGGCTTATTTTTCCAAAATAAAATTTTAGTTTTGTGTTCGCGAACGCTTCGTTACCCATCTACGAAGCGTTAAAGTTTCCAGATTTTTTTATTTTTTTCTGCTAGCTCATGAAACTCCGAAAAGCACTGTAACCTCGACCGTAACTATGTTATTGTTCGTATAGGTCAAAATAATCCAGAAGTGCCCCCTTCAATTAAGATATCTGAAAAATCACGAAATTGTCCTGAGATATTGACCATGTATGGGTAGTTGATTCAAATAATCTCTGATTCAAATGAGGAATTCTTGTTTTCAATAACATTTGGCTCGGCATTTGGTCATGGCAGCATCGAACTGAACAGGCGATTTCACCAAAACTCTGAACATTTTTCCCAAAGCAAAGGAAATTGTTTTTCTGTTGAAGTTGTTCCTGATTTCAAAGTAATTTGAATTCATTATCTAGGCAAGGCAAAATGGTTTGAATATTGCCCACGGAATTTTTGAATCCACAGAAATGCGAAAAAATCCAGAATATCGAAAAAAATCGAATTTCAGCATTCTGTACAAGGAAAACCATTTCTAGATATCGTCCCACGCGTTCGTAAAGAAATAAAAAAAATCTTGTGGAAAATACAGGGCACTCATACTTTTTCATTACTGTAACACTTTTGTCAAACACTTGGTGTCTCATGACTGAGGAACTTTACTGTGTTTTGAACACTGAATCTTCAAAAGGAAGAACGCAGCTTTCAAGCACTATGCTTTTCGATTGGGAATCAATTCATTTTTCGAAAAATTATGGCAAATTCAAAATTGGCAAAAATTTCAGTGGTCCACTCAATACTATGAGCACTTCAGTTACATCCAGACAGAGAGACGATGGTTTCTTCCACTGAGTACTCGTATGAAATAAAGTTTCCGGAGAGGGAGCCTGATGAAAAATCACCCACTTTCACTATGGGTCGGTCGAGGGGGCGGTAGTTAAAAAAAACTAAAATACACGCTTTTATAGATAGCCAAACTGAAAAAAATTTTGATTAAGTAATAAAAGAGTATGTGGATGAATACATTACATAGAAGAGAATAGTAGCACCTCCGTAATCAGTATAGTTCCTCTGATTAGTATTTTCATTATTTTATATCCTACTGCCTTTCAGTTTGGATATCTATAAAAGTGCGCTTCTCTAGTTTTTTACTGTTATTTATTTTGAACTGAAAATTAGCCGCTTCTGGATGAGCTTCAATCAGTATTTGTTTAACCCAACCACTGGAAAAAATGTGTGTTCCTCATTGAGTCTCGAGGGTATAATTTACATGTCGATACCCGCCCCACAATTGACGTATGTCGTGCTGTCGGTTGACAGATAGTTGTGTTATGCAAAAGTACCAAAAAGGCAAGTGCATGGCTCCCTGGCGCCCGTCTGTGCGGCTGTCTATAAACTTATACAGGGTGATCTTTATATTTATATATCTAAATTAGTTGCGGTAGAATAGTATAGAATAGAATAATAGAACTCGAATAGAATACTTTTATTTAGCTACATTACGTATACTTTTTGTAGCAGGTCAAAGAGTTAGAGCTATAAAAAATATAACTATAAAAAATGAAGTTAGAAGACAAACAATATGAAAATATTGATACGGATTCAAAGTTCAGAACAAATAGAAAAATAGAGAAAAAATAAAATACAGGTACATATTGATCCAGGCGGACTCAAGGTATTGGTTTGGGGGGAGGGTAATGAATATGGAATAGCACAAAATAGTGACAATCAATATTTAGAACAGACATGGAAGGCAGAATAATTACCCCCCTTTCTCTAATTTCAACCTATTTTCGGAAATCAAGGTGAAAAATTGATTAGCCCTGATTTTTTTAGGTTTTTTTCAATCATATTTTCCCAATTGCTCCTCTTGAGAGGTATATCTTAGGTCAATGTAAGTACATTCATTTTTTTTTCTCACATTTCAACTTATCTTTTATGAGAAAATCAAAATAAAAAATTTATTGTACTTGATTTGTCGAAATTTTTTTAATTCTTTTTATTTTGAAATTATCTTCTTTCTAAGATATGTAGATAAGTCTATGTGTATATACAGGGTCATTCGCCTAACTAATTCATTAGATGTTTATAGAGAACCGAAAGAGACATCAATCTGAAATTTTGGGTACAGCCATTGCCTGATGTGATCTATTTTTCTAAAATAATCTCAATTATCGGAAGTGAAATAGCCTTCGTTTCTTGTTCAATGGAACACCCTGTAGACTATGGAATTTTTATATTCTCCCTGAATAGCGAATTTCAGCAATATTATCACACATGGGGGTCTAGCGGGAATGATTCCAGATATATAGGGTGTTAAATTCAAGATTTCTTTTTGTCCCCCTCAACTTTCGATTTACTACCTCCTGACATTTAATTGAAACAGATACAGGGTTGTTCAGTGGCGTAACTATATCATCTCTGGGGCCCGTGGCAAATTCTTTTGATGGGGTCCTATCAGTAAAAATCGTCAACTTGTACTCAGTTTACTCAGATACAATATTGTTCATGCTAAAATATAATTATCTTTGATTTTTGCTAGTACCTTGTTGTGTGCTGCATCTGATAATTCTGGTATACTTTTAGTACGGTCCAATTCTTCACTTCTGGAACACTAACTTTCACAATCAACTTTACTTTGCCACCATTTTCATATTCAATAAAAGATACAAATCACCAATTGGCAAAATAATCACACAAAGAATAAGCAGTATTAGCAGTGTAGTATAGCCCTCATAAAAAATATCAAATCCGGAATTCCCCTAACATAGTGTTGCTATCCAGTGTTGCCAACAGCCAATTTCAAAAACGGCTAGATGATTGTTGAATAAAGGCTATATTATGTCTAAATATGAAAGCCATTTTTTGCATTTTTTCTAGCAAAAACAAGAAATCTGACCATGGACTACGATACTGACATTGAAAATTCAAGTCTAGAGCGTGAATATAATGAACTATCTATCAGACTTTAGTAGCAAGATGAGTTTAAAAACGGCTAGAGCTAGCCATAAAATGGCTGAGATGGCAACAATGTTACTAGCTCGCCCCAGCAGCAGCGCCAGCAAACAAAATGGGGTATTCCCCGATCGTCAATGCTCACCTGCGCTGCCAACGTGACAAAATATGTAGTAACCAATAGATGCGTTCTATGGTTTTTTGACGGTCATGACTCATAAGTATGTAAAATTACTTGTCACGGCTAACGTGTGCATCTCTAAAAATAAATCAACATGTTTTTGTTTTGGGTGGTTACAATGCGCTAGACGATTAAGTCGAAATTGTATTATAGGGATTCCCTTTCGTGTGCTCCAAGCGATAAAAAAAAAGATCTTTAGTTGTGTCATTTTGGATTTTGAGCATAACTTATGAAAATATACTTGTCAAATAAAATAAAATACTCAGGTATATATAATGTAGAAAAATCTTTTTTGAGCTCGCGGCATTTTGCTAGCCCTTCCACCCGATTGTTACGCCACTGGGGTTGTTCATGATACAGAATTTTTTTCATGAGTATTTTACCAATTGCTCCCCTCCTAATGTATGTAAGTCAATGTTACATCTCTTATAGGTATAGTGACTATAGTGGACGAAAAAATCATAAGCATTCAATGGATATCATCAAGTTTGTATCAATGCATATATTTATGTCCTAGTCCGAGATGATTAATCAAACTGAATATTGGTTGATTTTTTTATTTGTTACGAAAATATAATATATTAGCACCAAAAAGTTCTTTGTGCGAGTGAAAGCAGCTGATTATTTGATTTACTGTCAAAGGTGCCGAAATTTGTCTTTCAGAAGCACTTCAAACTTTGCCAAGTTCGTCCTTTATTAAAAATTGGGGGTGTTGCGGACTGGCTAATTCCATCACACTTTTCGTTGTTTTTATTGCATATCTGGATTCAGCAACGATTCAGCTCACCGATAAACACGATGAGAAATTTCAGATTTTTTTTATGACCCCCCTGGGGAGCACTTTACTCTTGTGTTTTTTCATAAAATCTTGCGGCCTCGGTATTTTTGAGAGTCAAATCATTTCAATTTCACCATAAATCGATTTATATCATGCAAATACACGATGAAAAGTTTTTGAATTTATACACACCCAAAAATTGGGCTGAACATGGATCACCTTGTAGGGTACATCGGCTGAATTTCGCAGCAGGCGATAGACCTAATAATGTCTAGGATGACACTTAGACAATGACGTTGTGTCAGATGTTACAAATATTTCAGCTAGGAGTGATTGCCATTGATACTGTAGTCGGATAGTTATTTCGGTGTCTGGTTTCATTCATTGATTCCTGGCTCATGGCTCATTCAAAATTTGATACTTTATATCAAAAATATCCAGATATATTTACTGTACAGGCTGATGACTTATAAAAATGACGTATGCTATAACTATACATATACAACCGATTTCTGAAAATAAAAAATCATATGCAATAGTTGAAAAACACTGTTTCAAATGTCTTTTTTTTAACGTCAATCGGAATACATAAAGAAACTTATTTCATTTCAAATGGGGTGATATAATCATGGTGTTCTCAAAGG